TTTGAGGCAGGGTCTCTCTGTAGCCCCAGCTTTCCTGGAACTCACTATGTAGACCATGCTAGCCTTGAACTCACAGGGATCTGCCTGCCTCTGCCTCCCAAGTGCTGGGATTAAAGGCATGCGCCACCACGCCCGGCTATTTATTTTAAATTACATTTATTTGGTGGGTTTGAATAGAATTGATGCCTTTATCTGAAGTAATTGTATAGATCTAAAATTTTTAATGCTTAGCATGGTACTTTGTATATGACACATACTGAGGAATTTTTAAAAAATATTTTACTTATTTTTATTTTATGTGTACAAGTGTATTGCCTGTATGTATGTGAGTGCACCCATGTCGTGCAATGCCACGGAGGTCAGAAGAGGGCTTCGGATTCCCCTGGAACTGGAGTTAAGGACGGTTTGTAGCCACCATGTCGGTGCTGGGAATCGAACCCAGGTCTTCTGCAAGAGCAGCCAGTGCTCTTAACTGCTGAGCCATCTCTCCAGCCCCACTGAGGAATTTTTAAAATGTTATACTAGTCACAATTAATTTAAATCATACTTTATTCAGATTCCCTTACTTTTTACCTTATATTACTTTTCTTTTCTTTCCTCTATTACTTTTGATACAAACTCTCATTCAAGGTACCATATTACATTTGTTATATCTTGTGTTTCTTTGGGCTGATAAAATTCTCAGACATTCTTTGTTTTTGATGACCTTGGCAGTTTTGAAGATTGCTATACTATGTCCCTTACCTAGGATGTATTTGGTATTTTCCCAGGATTAGACTGGGGTAAAGAGTTGTGTTGTGGGTTTCCCAGATCACCCTATATTCAATAATTTGCCAAAAGGATTCTTGGAATTGGCATAAAGCTTTGGTTGGTTGCAGCTATGTTTTATTACATGAAAGGGGGCTGGAAAGATGACTCAGCCTTTAAAGACTCAGGCTTACAACCAAAACATCAAGAAAGGGACAAGGTAATTGGGGCACAAATCTTCAGGAAGCCAGGCACACGCTTTTAAGAACCTTACTTTCTAGAGTTGCTTAATTCCCATAGCAGTAAGCTGTGACAAGTGCTGTGCTTCAGGCAAGATCTCATCTCAGCCCCTAAGGTTTTTATAGGAGAGTGGTCATATAGGCACCTTCTTTTTAGCACATACCAAAATTTCAGACTCCCAAAAGGATAGCAGCATGAACTGCAGTTTAGGCACACAGTAGGCCGCTCTTACAAAGTAGCGTGGTGAGAACCATGTGATCAATGGTAATTGGTGCCACCTGAGGGGTTTTTTCCCACAAATATTTTAAAGATGATTTTTAAATTTTAGAAGGAATATACAGTGTTTTACAAAATATAAAAAACTGAAAAAATGAGTTTAAAAAAAGTCATTTACGTGCCATATTTAAGAAAAGGGGTTATTAAGTGAAAAGGAAATGTGAGTTGGGTTGCTGTATAGACAGCTGCAACTCTATTCACTATGTTTTATTTCTTGCGCTGGACAATATGATCACAGAGTACTCTTTTTCTTCCATTTTGTATGTTTCTACTATTTTATATGCCATTAAAAACTCATGCTACTCCAATAACATTATATCCTTTTTATTCATTACTGCAAAATCTTAGATCACTTACCTTTGTTCTCCTTTGTTATAAGGCTACAGAGGAAATATACATAATATAGGCCAGTATTCTTTTATGCAAGGGGCTCAATTTCTATTAAATAATTTTTATTTATTCCTACATTTACAAATTCATACATGTACATAATGTATTTTAATCTTATTTACTCTCCATTCCAACCTCTCTTATCCCCCTCCCACTCCCTGAGATTCAGCTTTCTAATAATTTTTTATAATATGTCCTCAGAGTAAAAATCAAAGATTTAATAACCTATGATCAAAATTTTCCACTAAAAATAATCATGAATCTGTGTACATTAAGATCTGCTATTCAGCTCTTAAATTCTGTGTTTCTGTGGTCCTCTGCTAAGTGCTCATTTGTCAAGGTGAAATCCAACACCAGAGGGCACCAAGTTTCCTCTTGAAGCAAAAACAAATTCGCTTCTTTCCACAAAAGAATTTTGTGTACTGGAGTGCATTGTGGAATGATATACTTTTAGTTTCTTAGTGATCAAAAATTAAGAGATTTTGTGCTTTGTGAGAAATAATTTACAGAATCATTGTAAGGTGGTTCTTCCTTCCATCAGCCAAGATGGAAGTGGTTTTACCAACTTGTTTTGCAGGGTTATTTG